TATATATGTTAATATATAATGCGTGTGCGTGCGTGTATAAGTATGAATGTGTATAAGAGTTTATATGCTATCTTTTTTTCGGAATATATAAATGTGTGCATCAGCATACATACTTATTTTAAGGTTTGTTTGTAAGAGTGCAGAAGAACAGCAAAAATTGGGGCCTAAGACCACGAAGCTACAAAATGGACATTACTAACGAACAATCTAGGTAAGTTATACGTAAATGATTATATATGTATGTGTATAAATGTAGATTTGAAAGTTAGAAAATATGTAATGAATTTGCTTTTTTGAAATATTCATGAAGATAAAATATTTTAAAACAAAATATATTTCATACTTCATAGACAATAATAATAAAAAGACCAACAAACGGTCCCGAGACAATTACCTATTTTCATACCTCCTGTAAATATTGATGTATGGATCGAAAAATGAATGATAAGGAAACGCAACACATCTATATGTTTTTTTTTTTTTTTTTCGTTTGTTCAGGTACTCACGATCTGATTTACTTGCTTTGCGCTTCGAAGGAAGTGCACGTCAACGACCAAATTGTGCAAATCGAGCTGATCTGCAGACGTTAAATTTTTGGAAAAATAATGGAGCTCCACTGAGTGTGAGCAGCAACAGTTGTGGAAATAAAAGCGGATTGTCGCCCGAAAGGGAAAGTGCAAGTCTAACGAGTTCAAATGGACTCTTGAGTTCGAGGCGAGCTTTACGAAATCGCGAACGAGCCCACAATTATTATCAGCGCTTTTCATCCGGTGATCAAATTGCTGGAGAAGAATTGCAGCAGCAGAGAAACTTAGGCTCAGCCAGTGTCAATCTGTGTGGCTCCTCCACATATAAATCACCTAATATAGATCATCGTAGTATATCCTCAGCACATTTAATGCCAGCGTTTGCGAAAAAGCGTTTTGTAGTTGAACAGGCCGAATCTCAACATGAGGATGGAAATGCAAAAGAGAGTAGTGCACCAGCCGCTTCGGCTACTCAAAGCAATCTTGACCTGAAAAGTCACAGTGAAGTGCGCGCCATCAGCCGAGCCTCTAAAACGACGGCTGCTTCATCCCCAGATTGGGAGCGTGGGGAGAAACATTTAAACCCACCACATAATGAACAATCGATGTCGCCGACTGCATTTTTGGCTGGGCGTCAAGTGGCGAGCGGCTTGAATTTGCAAGAAAGACGGATTGGCAGCGGCCGCCTATTGCCACGTAATGATAATTGGGAATATACAAAAAACAAGGAGGCGGATAATTTATTAAATAATCTTGATAAGGAGAGACCTCAAAATGGAAACCTTACCAGCCAGTATCAGCCGCAGCAGCAGCAACATCAGCGTCTGCGTACATCGTCTGGCAAACATATCGATAGTTTAGTAGATCGCGATCGTGACCGTGAGAGAGATCGTCGTAAGGCTGTCGATAATCATCGTGATCAAAATGATGGAAAAAAAAATGTTCAAAGTGGACGCAGTCGCATTGCAACCAACAAGGATAAATTCAATTTCGGTGATTGTCAGTCGGGGGCTATGCAAAATCGTGGCAAGCGCATGAATTTGTATCAAACTCATGAACCGGAGTGGTTTAGTGCTGGACCTACCTCCCAGCATGAAACGATTGATTTACATGGCTTTGAAGATTACGAAAGTGAAAGCTCATCGGCAGATTTGAAGAACATCAAAGATGACATTTGTAGAGATTCAGATGTTAAGCCGACTCAACCCCCATCTCGAAGTAGTAGCCTAGCCAGTTTGAATAACAACAACAAAAACGATGCGGAGGAACAACACGCAACAAATAATAAACAATTGAACTACAGTGTTAGCTCAGTCCCAAAATCTGATGTTGAGTTTAATTTCGATGCTTATCTTAACATGGATCCAATGGATCACGCTCTCATGGTATGTATTCATCATATCAAATATCAGTATATCTGTTCAAGTACGGAATTTTCTATTTTGCAGGGTAATGACAGCGAGATGCATGATGTCCAAAGTACATCGCGTTTCAGTCAATGGTTTGCAAGCAAAGAGCCAACAAAGAACGAGCGCGTATTTATTGGAGACACTACAGCGCTAGATACGCAAGGTATTTGACGTTTTGTAAAATAAGGACATTTAAAGGAAACAAGAAACAAGATTTTTTATTTTTGAGCTTATATGAAGAATAGCCCAGAAGTTGTAAAATTATATCGAATTCATTCTCTAAGTTATTGTAGATGTAGCGTTTAAATACCCTAACGGCTTTGTGTATCTAACAGGTGGAACAAAGTGTGGCAGATCCAATTTGTATATATATTGTTGAGTAAGATGACGAGACCATTATCAAATATAATATATATGCATTTGTTTTGGGAATCTGCATTTAGAGCAAAATTTATTAAACAATTTATTTAGTCGATTTAAGTAATGTAATTTTTCTTTTCTCTATCGTTTCAATTATTAAAATATGCTCTTATTGCAGAAATCCCGAGTGTTAAGGACTTAGAAGCACAAATGAGAAAAGTGGACTTGCGCCCAGAATGTGACATAAGTAAATCGCAGGCGAACGCAAATCAAACACAACAAACAGTGCATACAGAGCAGAGAGACAAATCTGTTACCAGAGATACGGAAGCTTTTAAAAGACTTTTGCAACAGTTGGGCTCGCAGAGTAATACAGAATCAACATACCCTATAACTTCAAATATGCCAGCGGCTCGCGTCGTTCCTCGTCTCCAGCAGCAGCAACAACAGCCACACCAACAACAGCAGCAACATCAACAACAACAGCAGCAACATCAACAACAACAGCAGCAGCAGCAACAGCAGCACCACCAACATCAACAACAACAGCAGCAACAGCAGCAGCATGCAAGTCATCCAAATCATCAAATTAAAGGAGACGATATACAGCTATATCAGCAACATCGTCCTAAAAAGAATGATTCTATGTCGCATAGAAATATGGAGATGATGCCACAAAATCAATTACATCCTAATGTTCATGAGTTCAATATATCTTTGCAAACGCATAAACGAATGGAGATTCAACAATTATTACAAGGTAAAAGTATTTGTCTTTAAACGTAGTTAATATATTGATAGTTTTTTCCTCAGGTGTCACTCGGGGCGATGTTTCGGTTGAAATTCTAGAGAAGGAGTTGAATAATCCGAATGCAACGCCTCTATCTAGGGAAGTAATTGCAGCAGTACTTTTTGAGTTAACAAATTCTGGGCGTAGTACTCTCCATCAACAACAACATCTAACGTATGCAAACGACATCAATTCCCAAAACTTTATGAAAAATAATCAATTCCTTAACAAGAATGTGAGCCCTGATGGTAAGACAAGTTTTCTGAGAAGATTCTATATGTATAATATATGTATATGTTTATTTGGTTAGATATTTATACACATCAAAACACAACGAGCCAAGGCCTACATCAAAATCCAAGGCATACTAATTCACCGACACCTTTAGCATTTACGCCCACTTCAGTTTTAAGGAAAATGACGGCTGATAAGGAGACGACGGCGTCATCCACTTTGAATAACAGTAATATATTCAATCAACAACAGCAACAACAATATGTTCAGCAATTTAAACTATCAGGGCCAGCACAGCCGAAACTGGATAATCAGCGGATAGGGCATAATATGCTGAACGAAACACCAGCAGCGCCAAATCAATTGCAACCTCGAATGATCCTGGGTGGTAATTATGCCATGCAGCATCAAATGAATACCAACAGTCCACAAATTTCGCCAAAATTACCGCCCCCAATGTCTCAGAAGCAAAATCGATGGCCACCTGGAAACATACCCATATCCACAACAACAACAGTACAACAGCACGGCACAAAGTGTTTCGGTAATTAAATATGGCCACAGTTTTGAAGAAACTGTTATATATATTTGCTTGTCTTACAGGTCGTCCAATTCTAAAAGGGACTTTGAGCTCGGGCTCACAACAAATGCCGACCGCATTTCTATTAAACAATGAGTTACATCAACATATGCACCAACAAAAGCTAAAGTCAATGCAAACTACTCCTTCGGATACAATAAATAATGATAGCATTCACATGGGATCAACAGCACTTCAAATGGTTCCATATAACGAAGGAATCTCTTCCCAGCTTCAACAACAGCAACAACCACATTATATCCAACAGCAGAGAGCCCAGCCACAACCCCAGCCCATTCCTGGACATCGGTTATTGCATGTAGACTTACATCGTCCGAATAATTTAACGGTACAACCAGTTACTATATCGTCAGGTAATTAAAAACGCTCACGTTTAATGAGGGAACGTAACAGACACCATCAAATATACTTGTCCTTGTCAGCAGCACAACAAACAAGTCGAATTAGCATTGTGCGTCTATAGAATGTCATATTGGAACCTACAACATTTATATACCCAAAGTTGTCACTCTAATGTATTTTGATACCCTGAACCCATTTTTAATGGGAAATCAGGGTATAATAGTTTTGTTGAAATGTATGTAACAAGCATAAGGAGCGTGGCAGACCCCACAAAGTATATATATATTCTTGATCAGGGCGACAAGCTGAGTTATTTTGGCCCTGTCCGTCTGTCTGTCTGTCCGTCCGTCCGTCTGTCCGAATGTTTGAACGCGTGGATTTCAAAAGATATAAGAGCTAGAGACTTGAAATTTTTTTCTAGGTCCGTGTATACCACGCGCATATCGATAACTTGAGCCAAATGGTTATTTTTATTAGTTTGGTTCAGGGTAGTATCTAGTCGAGCACTCTCGACTAGAGTTTTTTTACTTGTTATTGTTTAGGTGTTTAGGGCACGGAGAATGCCAGATTAGCTGGGGCCTGGTTTGTGTTTCTTTGATATTTGTTCTTAATATTTGTGCTTTTTGTGTTTTCTTAGGTGATCCCGATGGCAATGGCGATTCGTCGACAAATTTAATGAAAAATAACAACCTCAGGCCGATAAACAACTATCATCAAAGAGACGAAAGATTGTCTCCAACATCAAATCAATTGGCACAATGGTTTTCGCCAGAATTACTTGCCAGAGCATCGGCTGGAAAATTGCCTCTATTGAATATGAATCAGGCGCTGAGCTTGGAAGAGTTCGAACGTAGCATGCAACATTCCTCAGCCACAGTGCTCAATTAAGACTTAAGAGAATAGATATACTTTAAAAGAGACTTAAATTAAAACTAAAATATAATTAGTTGAAATCATTTTGTGTATTATTTTAAATAAAGCGTTCTGCTCCAGTTTGTTTTAAACACACACTTTAACAAATTCTCAGTTCATAACGCAATCAAAGAAATGATGGTTTATATTCAAATTATGTTTATATATAACATATAGAATAATAAACTACCTGTACACTCAGATACTCTTAAACCACTTGAAAACCGATTTGATTCATTCACAATATTACTAATGCGTAGATTGTATTATAAACAAAACAAATAATTCTTCTTCTGTATATACTTAAAACCAAAACAAAGGAAAATTGCAAATAAAGGAACTAAAAATGTAAAATTCTTTGTTCTTTCTGAAACTCAAATTTTTCAGTAAATGCCTTATCGAAAAAAAAAAAAGAAAAGCAATTAAAAACGGTGCCGTCGGGCGTTACCAACTGAAGAATACTCATTCACAGCCCATTTTCATTTGAGGTTTAAGCTCTAATAAAGTAGAAAATTCGATTTTCCACGCCCCCACTGAGCATAGACACCAAATTTTTAGAACGAGCCATAAGTAACGTAACTGTAAATTTTGGACGCTTACGCTCCAAAATGAAGAAAATTACACGGTATTTTTTTGATATGCCACGCTCCTAAAACGGAATAACAATTATTTTTGGGGTATCGATAGAAGGTGACCAGTAACTCAACTAACTAAATTTGAAGCTTCTCGCTCTTAAACTTTACGAGATATAAACGTTTGCGGCTCGCCACGCCCCTAACGGGCGTAGATATGTCCGCCATGGCTTTTTGATCTTGGGTGATCTACGGTATATCGGTATATTTTTCATACGGACAGACAGATGCACGGGGCTAAATCGAATCAGCTTGTTCTTCTCCTGTTACATCCATTTCAACATAACCAGTATACCCAGATTTCCCATTTTTTTTGGGTTTAGGGTATAAAAATAAAACATTTTGATAAGGAAATTGGTGTATGATTTTTCTATCATATTTATTTTGATCGAGTCCTAGGAAAGTTTCTCAGATACTAAATATAAATCTATTTAGATACGGTTGGTAATTAGTTACAATATAATAATAATTCCAACATTTCCTTGAGAATAACTCAGTTAATCAGTGGAGTGGAATGCAACTATATTCCAATGAGCATGAGCAGGAATAGTCTGGCCATTCATTCAAATTATCCTACGTAACATCTTGCTTATAGGTGGGATATTTTTCCGCTAATCCTAAGTACGCACAGTAGATACAGTAAAATCGAAATTAACTGAGCAAAATAATACTTGGCCCAAATTGACAACAATCAAATGATTATTAAAAAAATTAGTTTTTAATATTTCTACATGTATTGCTTATTGTAAAGAAAATAGTGAAATGATCTACATATGCTTAGTTTTGGAAAGCCTTTGATTACTGTGAGCATTGTGATAGAGCTTAGACTTTAGGGAATGCATTTATTCACATATATTTATATATCTTCAAATCCATAATGAATGATTCATAAAATATAGTTTTTTTTTCTTTTTTTTTTTTTGTAATATTTTAATTCAACATTTTTATATGTCTTCTTGGATTTACATTATGTACTACATATAGTTACATGCGTACAACAAAGAAGACAAGTAGCTCTGGATAGATACATAAGTGATATATTGTTTGTCTGTACTTGAACCGTTTATGGAAAATGGAAATCCAAGATATAATGATCGATAACAATCGATGATTTTATTTTTGGTTTCAGGCGTACCTATAATTATGCATTTACAGGTCTTAAATGTTTTCGTTTTTGGATAGCTCTTCCGACCTGTAACATTTGAAAAAGAGAAACACGTCTCCCAACTCGAAGAGCCTTGAAAACCACAGTCAATCTAGCACAAGTTTTTGATCAGCTAGTTTCTTATATTAAAGCCCATCCGTCGTGGAGTTGTGCCATCTGGCGTGCATGTGTGGTATGCTAGGTATTCTTAAATGATAGTCGCTGGGTGCAGGGTGCAGAGTACTGGCTAGTCGACTGAGCATTCGCTCTGGCTTGCTCTGAGATAAGCGGGGGAAGCAGTTGTGTTCTCTTGTTGTATCCCTACATGTCTGTATTTGTTTGTATTTGTGAATGTTAGCATCTTCATCTTCATTAGCCGTCTAATTAGCATCTAATCTTCAATGCCAATGCAGGCTGGATCACCAATACCCAAGCCGCAATCGCATTTCTCAGATGTGGAAGCACCATTGTTGTAGCATTCATCGTTCCTATGAATGACAACACTTTGATTTCGATCCAAGTCGCAATTTCGACTTTTCTGGCTGATACTTGGAGACGGTCGCTCCGTTGCTGACATAGTAATAGTACCGACTCCGATTTCTACTCCGATCCCGATTCCACCTCCAGTACCATAGCATGCGTCTTCAGAATTCAATACAATTGGAGTGCGACTATATCCGGAACTAGTTGGTACTCCCTGAATACCCGTGGCTGCACCTGCACCTGTTCCGGTTCCCGTTCCCGTCCCCGTACCCGTACCCGTTCCCGCAACTTGTCCCGCTCCTGTTGTTGCCGAGCGCCTATACACAGTGCTGTTCATTGTCAACTTGCGAACATTTTTGTCAGGATGAAACACCAATATATACACCTTGGGCGAGTAAAGGCAGACGAGGGCAACCGAAGCACTCAAGCTGATAGAGATGCAGAGCGTAGTTATTTGGATCTGTAAAGAGATTGCATATTCCAATTAGGTGTAGATCTAGATGTAGATCATTAGTAGTATCTAACGAGCATTCAATATAACTTAACTGGTCACTGTCTTATGACTTAAACTTCACATTTGCAACAGTAAAAGACAAACACATTATCTATCTCTTATAAAGATCTATTTAAGTATGTTCAGAAGCAATTTATACTTGTTCCCAAATTAGGTCTGAGCTTCGTTTTTTTCTTACTGTTGTTAAAAATTAGACAGTCGGATTAATTATTATTACATCTCGTAGCCAGGCGCTTCCACTTGGTTCGCATTCCCAGTGTGCACAACATTCTTGTTCTTGCTCTTGCTCGCTATTGCTATCCATTCTGCTAATCCATTGTTTTTCCTTCTTTTTTTTTCGTTTATATTTTCATTTGATCATTGTTAGCCATTTGGCGATAGGATGAAACTAACGAAATATATCGTGAGGTGTAAAATCTGTAATTGATATGAACTCCTTAGGATAAAACAAAAAGTAATCAAAACTAACCTCAACAATTTTTGGATCTGCAAAAAGAAAAATAAAAACAAAAAAACAATAAATAAATAAAAAGTAAACAAATATTATTTAAAGATAAGAAACAAATTTTAAAGAAAATATATATGGGCAAAATTTAGACCGTTGTTTCAATACAAATAAATTCTATATCCTGATCGACTAGAAGATTCCACATCGATTATCCAACCTCCGCCGCCAATAAAATAGCGTACGAATACGGGAAGAATTATATCTGGTTTCAGGGCTAGGAACTGAATCGATTTTGGTCCAGTCCGTCTGTCCGTCCATTTGTTTGATCCCAATAATCTCAGAAAATATAAGAGCTAAAGACTTGTTTTATAAAATCGATAAGTACCGTTTTATATTTATCTTGTGCGTTTGTGTTGTGTATGTGCGTGTGCACGTACTGTTTCTTGTGTAAACAGAAAATAATCTTAAAATCAATGAAATATCAGTTCCTCTAAAGATTCAGGGGATCTCGTAGTCGAGCAGACCTCTCTTACTTATTTTGCTCCTTTTCATTGGCTATGCTTTCTGAGTATTCAAAAACAATAGTCTCTTAATAAATTTTATCCGATACGAATTACGTCTGTATGTGTGGAATATTAACTTAACATGAAATAAATAAGAATATATTTTTTGCAAAGATCGCAACACTTTGTTTTCTTACCTCGTAGGAGTTACCGGTGCCGAAGTAAATTGGTACAAAAGCGAGCCAAATAATGCAGGTTGTATACATTGTAAATCCAATAAATTTGGACTCGTTAAAGTTTTCTGGTATCTTACGTGTTTTAATAGCGTAAATTGTGCAAATTGTAATGAGTATCATATTATAGAGCTGAGAAAAGAGAAACGACATATCCTGTATCTTGCATTTCAAAATCACCTCGGTGCGGTCGGGATAATAAAATCTAGTTCCTGGTGGTTCCACAATCATCCAAATCATTGTTATCAAAACTTGTATTGCTACATTGAAAAAACATAAAAAATGTATACGGAAAGAATAAAATAAYCTCATCTCATATCATCGCATCTCATCTCATCTCATACGTACCGATCAGGGATGTCGTTATCACAACCTGAGACTGCGGACTAATGTATTTGAGGCGCTGCGCCGATTTGGATGCTGAATGAAATATGCGAGATATGCGATTTGTTTTTGTTAGCAAAGCACTATAAATGATGGAGAACCCGACTCCGATGCCAAATCTTTGCAGTACGCATGAACCAATGGTTGGCTTAGCGATCAAGGCGAATGTGTTGCAGTAACAGACCAGGATGCCGAACAGCAGCGTATAGCTCAGCTCTCGTCCAGATGCGCGCACTAGAGGCGTGTCATGATTTCTGGCAAATAGCACAATAACGATTATCGTCATCGTGATGCCAAGGACGGCAATCGCCAGTGGAACAAGTGCGAACAGCGAATTCCAACGCATATACTCAATCTTGAGGGCAAAGCAGGATAACTTATCGGGATATGGCCACAGTCCCGGGCCACAGTCCCTACATGTCTGCTCGTCATAAACGTATTCGTACGCTTCGCAGCTATCACAGATCCAACAGCAAGTGTCCCCCTGGTTGAGCATATATTCAAAACAAAAAGACACGTTACACTAACGGCAGATGTGACACAACAAATGCTTCAACCTGTTGTTTTTTAATCATTCCAGCTTCACATGGCAAGGAGCATGCTGATGTTGGCATTTCGTTGGCCTTATTCCACACAAGGGTATCCAAATTAAGTTCGAGGGAATTAAACCATTTGCCAATCACCTACAAAAACAAAACAAACAGATTTTAAGGCA